ATCACGATTTAATACAAAACTCAAAGATTCAAACAAAATATTGATTTATAACAATGCAGATAAATATGGTACAATTTAGGGTCAAAGTTTCTATCCTATATGGAATAGAGGGGAACACACATATTTACATACATGTATTATATATGAACCTATGTATAATGCATCTTCATTAATATTCATGGCTTGAGGGAAGTTTCCTGCACATCCTTTTTATAACATTATTTTGCAACTGCCGAACATAATGAAATGAATAAATCAGTACGAATTCTGAGAAGGGCAGGGATCCGAGTGCCGGTTTACACTCATCTGTATAACCACCCCCACCCCGCATCACAGATATTATTCGCTTACTTGCTCAACCTTCCTTCCGATGAATGACTTGCGTATTCTTAAGTTCACATGTACTTTATTGTAATCTCGGAAATTAAAAGTGCATGTAGCCCACGAAAGTCAGAAGGAAAGTGCCTTCTTCCGAATGCTTGTTACGTAGGAACAAGATATGAATTTTCTGTTTCAAAACTAATCTCTCCATGCTCGCTTTCACTGTTCAGGTTCGCCTTCTGGCAGCATTGGGTTTAGCAAGTCCGTAATCTGAGTCTAACTCTGTCTCTAATTAAACTGTTTTATTACCACTATAAAACCTACTTCTCTATTTGGAGCATTTAAACTGCTGTTTTTGCACACAAATAATAGCTTAATATTTTATATCATGAGCCTAATCTTGGAACAATAGTCAACCTCCTATGCACCAACAACCTGCCCGCACACCAACATGATCAAAAGGCAAGACTGAAGTTTGAACCTTTTCCTCTTTTCAGTTGTGTTTTGGGCTATCCTACTTTCCAACTCTACTTCCAATTTCAGTTTCGTTCCAATCGATAGTCTTCCACGTTCTGCGAAATGTTGTACAATCCAAGCAAGCAAATGACCAACCCGTTCTCTCCTTCGCTTCAACTTGAACTTTTTGACCTCCACTACACGCCTCTTGAATTATCCTATAGTAAAATTTGGGTCGAATTCCCTGATCCTGGCAATTCTGTTTAGACTCTGTAAATATGAAATCAATTCGAATGAAAAGCATAGCAAACCAGTTTCGAGTGACATAACTCGCAGACAGTCGGGAGCTATCCGTGTCAATTTGATATCAATTAATTTAAATTCATTGTGATATAAATTCGAATATGTGGAATCGAGACAACTCTGGTGTCAAATGTCATTCGAAGTTACAGCCAACACTTAAGTCGCACAATTAATAGGTATGCATGCCATAATGGGAGTGTGTGACACGTTTCAGTAATTGGCAGTTTGTTACATGTTTAAGGATTCTTGTGTGAGGTGGTTTTGCAAATTAATTGCACAAGCCATTCCACGCATGAAAAGTTATTTTGAGGCAAATTGTCCATTTATGGCTCAAAGAAAGAAAATGGAAAATCAATTACTCCGCACGGCAAAACAGGGTCTCCCATTATATGGTTGGGTATTGAATGATTTATTGCTCTCTACCACCGTATCAGATTCCGATAAAATCTTTAGAGAACGAATGGCTGGAAGATGATTTAAAAGCGAACTTGTCTCTCACTTTTATACCGTGAACAGTGCGTGGATTGAAAACTTGAGCATATCACTAAAGCATTGTATGCCGTAAAGTTTTACGTATTTTGAGTTCATATAATGCGGTATACTTTTTTCTTCTGGGCCCAAACATGAAATATTTTGAAGATGAGCACGATTACAGACCCATTTCAATTGTGGACGTAGGAACAGAAACAGGACCAGCAGCGGGAGGGAGATCGGGGAGAGAAGACGCTGGATAATCTCTTCTGTTCATTAGTGATTCCGAGATTATTATGGGCGATACGATCGCGTTGGAGATTGAAGATTAGGCAGAATATGTATGGCGATGATGTTGAGAACTCTTCCATTTCACATTTGGCCCAAGTTTACTGGTGAATATTGGTCCGTATATCAGAATTATGGAGTCATTTAGCAGGTTCTGGAGGAGAGGATTGCTCGCAGGAAAGATATTCCAAATCGTAGTGGGTGCTTCACTTTGACTACAGCTCAGAACTTCTTTACTTGTAACGACTTTGACCATAAGTTTGCTGGGTGGACGAAGATATTGCATCCATCTTTTCCACCAAATGGCTTGTTTCGGGGAGATGAAAGGGGGATTATATGATCCGGGCTGGCGATACCATGATTGGTGAAACAGCCACAGAAATTTTTATCGCATACATTAAACTGTATACAAGGTGCTTTTCATGGAACGTTCCAAATAGCGCATCACTCATTACTGCTGATTAACCATAATGATCCTCTCAATCTATTACTTAGTTTATTGTGAACATTATATGGATTACGAAAGCAGAAATTTAACCGACTTTTAGTGAAATTTCTAACTGTGGCATGACGAATGACAAAGAATGGATAAAAATAATTCAAACTAATACAATCAAAAACTTTTGTATCTAAAAATGGAAATTTCATCATACAGATTAAGGGTGCGTATCACACATACTCATTCGTTCACTTTGTATACAAATAGTAAAACTATTAACGGGCACATAAACAAACCTTCAAGCTTGCCATATAAAACCTGAACTGCCAAAGGAATCCCTCTTTGCCGTCGTTAGTGATTAATTCAGAATCGCAACTTCACTCTTGACTTGTAAAAGTTGTTTGCATGTTCAAAATGGAAAATATGTATGCGGTGTGTGGTTCTATATAAGGAAATCACTAAGCATTTGAGTAAGATGATGATTCCTTGACAACATTCTTTTACGTACATATGCATGTGCTAACTGTGTGTACATATTATATGCGTCGTGTGTTTTTACGTGAGGGGAGTTATACGTATATAGAGTTTTATAGCATTTATTTTATTGCATTTTTGCAATAATTCATTATCATTATAAAATTAGAATAGCAATCAGTGACAATCGTAAATAATATAAACAATCAACCCAGTCAGCCGCCAGTCTTATTACAATCTAACACTCACTACGAGAAGAAGATTCTCAATCCCAATAAGTAAAGCTTTGAGTGGGTACATTTTTCTCATTTTTTCACCAACGTGCATGTTGTTGAGTAGGCACAAACCACAACAAATTCGATGTCTTTTAGTAAAATTTTTCGCATAAAACGTGGTTTATGAGAATTGTGTAAAAGACGTTAGCTGTAGAAATAAATTAAGGATTGGATGGCTTGCATCAAGGTTAACTACTTGGAATGAAGACTAGTTTTTGTTACCGAATATTAATAATAATGTTGAGAGCAGCCAATATAAGAAGTTTGTATGAATGTCACGGAAATTTTATTATTTTTGTCTGATTGAGCATAAACAAAAGTACAAGTTTTGTAATGATTCCTCTATTTTAATTCTTCTCTGAGACAATCTGCGCTGTGACACGCCACGCACACACCACCCAAAAATATATCCATGATCATGACCAAAGAAGAAAATATTAAATCTAGATAAATAGATAAGTGATGATAATCAAGCACATATGCTTCACCAAGGGCGGATCTTTAAAGTGATACAAGACATTACGCATAGCAGGCCATAAATCTACAGCGAAAAAGATGTGTATAATTACATTGAGGAAAGGTGCCAAACCGTGCCATGAGTGTGCTTGGATTTAATTTATGACGGGTGACAGCGAATTAGCATGTTTTCTCGAGTTCATTACAAATTATGACATAGTATGAAAACATTTGAGCAATTTTTGCGGCAATTTGTATATGGTAATCAACCAGTAGTAATAAGAAGGTCACTGCAATATACTTAGCAAAAAAGCATTGCAGTAACTTGCAACTTTGACTTACGGTGTCATACTGAGTGATGATATTGTGCAGCACGGTTTTTAGTCGACTTCGCACCAAAAGCCCAAAATTTATTGCAATGTGGTTAAAGCAAAAACTTGGTTATATGAATATATGTATGCACGACTATACGTATGTAAGTATGCACGAGTCTATTATGCAAGACAGTGTTGCAGATCAAAAGAAGAAATGTGTTTCACGGTGCATTTGGCATGATAAATGTCAATGGATATGGAGCACAATCTTCTTGTTGGTAATTGGGTTCTTCTTATTCTTCTGCTCATATGTGGCCTGTCTTTTAAAGGAATGTTGCAGTCGGTAAATTATCGTGTCAAAGTTGGACAGGTATGGAAAGCAGAACTATCTGCTTACTACTCGACTCCTGAATAATATTGTAGCCAACAAGGGGTGAAACTCGGTTGTTGAGTTGTATGAAACAAAATATCTTACTTGAATATTATCATTAGCCTGGTTTTCAAGCCCATACAACAACTCCAGTTTCAGTACTAGCCAATGGGAAAAAGTTGGACGAATAATCCGGAGATGGTGAAGCTTGGTTGGCGTGTGGTGAAAAAAGTTGTAGGAGAAAAAGAAAATAAATTATATTCACAAAAGTCGCAGCATTGCAGCTCACTCAGGATCTGTATCCATTACGAGAACGCCTCCGTCTGCGGTAACCTGTGTCACGTCCTTCCTCTCGCGAGTCGAGCCGAGAGTCATGGTCGTAACACCAATATATTTATAATGTGTTTGGTTGTTGCATTCCTTGTAACAAGACACCAACATCAGGGAAATAATCTCAAGTTTTGAGATACAAAAGTAAAGTAGCTGGCTGCTAAAAAATTCTAAATTCTCAGGGTCGGAAGACTTTCTTTTGGCAGATTTGAAATGAGTTGTCTTCTTGTTTCGTCCTCGTAATGGATTGTGTGTCTTGCTACAAATTTGCATGTCTTCGCTTTCCAGCTCAACTCATAATGTTTTCCGTAAATAATATGAATTTTCACTGGTCGTGTTGTGCTAAGATGGCGGGATGAAAATGGTAAAAGCAAAAGTATTTGACGGGTATAATCAGCGTCTTAAAATTGTGCATAAAAGGAGAACAAAGTTAACAGGATGAATAATGAGGGCAAAGAAAAGAAGAGACAGAGAAAAGAAGAATACAAAATCTTTAGACTTACTTGGCTTATCGGCTTCCAAAATTTCGTCTCCGATGCTGCATTCTCCATCCCTCGTGGTGAGAAGCAGGAGCAGAGCGACACATGTCGCGGCAAACGATGTGCGACCAAGATTCAAATTCAAGTCTAAAATCTTGATCGCTTTCCGATAGCCGTTCCTTTGTTTAGATTTAGCGGTGGCTAAACCTCCACCTGTGAGGTTTGCCATATTCTTCATTTTAAGGGAACCCCTGCTACATGTAGGATTCTAATGATGGGGATACAAATGCATTTATGCAGTAGTTTCACATTTACTCAAAAGTTTGGAGTTGACACGCTGTTCATCTAGTATTTTGCACAAGTTTAAGTGTCAAATATTGATATTTTGCATGATAGTCTAAAATATTGATGAGATGACTCTTATGCATTCATAACACTGTCGTGGAACCTCTGCTTAACAATTAACTGTCACTATTATTGTGCATATGAATGGCGGACATGACAGCGCACTCATTAATGTATGATTAATGTATGATTTCACTGAAACGTGAAACTAAATGTTACAACATGAACAACTGTGACACTGTCTTCGAGGAGCACTTAACGTACTTAATTGTTGCATTTGCACAACATCAAACAACCCATAAATTGTGTACCACTGGAGCAAACTCTACTTGTAGAGCAGGGTTGTGAGATATATATGTGCGTGAAAGTGGAGAAATGTCCAAGTGCGACTCCGTTGATGGGTCTATAGGGGAATTCGTCATCCATCCAAGTTAGTCGACGAGTAGAGAGTAAAACTACGAGGACAGGAGGAGGGATGACAATAGCGTTGGCAACAGTGGGGCAAAGCTAAAGTGTTGGTTTAGTTGTCACTGCTGCACTTGATGATAATGATGATGACAATGGGATGGTCAGCCTGGCCCCATGGGCCTCCAATTCCAACTTATGGGACTTCAATCTCCCCATATTTCCAAAATGGTCCTTTACTTCACAGTTACTTTCCCATACAAACACACTTCTCGTCAGACAGGAAGAACGGACCGCACTTCACTTGACGACTTTGTAAGCTCTTCGTACTTCGCTCTGTGACGATTAGGATGACAGTAATGATGACAAAGAAGTGGCCAAGTGGTTCCGTCACTTTCGTTGAGTTGGGCTGGTGGGTGCAGGGTTGCGATGCAATTCAAAGACTCGTAATGGGAATGCCAGAATCCATCATCAAACTAATCCTGTTATGTCCACATCGATCTGCAGAGCATACAGGGAAAAACGGATTAGCAATAAATCTTTATGGACGTACATGCACACACATACGCAACGCAATCTCTCGCAAGTAATAACTACCGCCCAATATATTTCGGCATTATACAAATAAATGTGAACGTATGTGCACGAGACGATGTACGATGACCCATCAAAACTTGTTAGGATGGATTATGTTCTGTTTTGCTCAACACACGGCTCGTGAGAAGACACCAGCACGCACGCACATTCCGGCCTCCCATCATTACAAAAATATATTTACTGACAAATTGCTAATAGATATTCAAACAAGCAAATTACATACGCTTTTAAGTTTTTCTTTGCATTGTGCAATAAAGTTAGACAATACAAACCTGTTCAACTTTTTCATGTAGCTTGTCAACTTGGAATGATAAGTTACGTGCAAGTCGTGAATTAAGATTTGGATGGAATATGATTACTTATGAAGATGAAATTGGGTATGTACATACATATTTACATTGTGTATTCACGTACGCAATTTAAGTGGATTTGTTGCATCGCCTTACAATAATAGGACAACAATGTAACACGTACATATCAAGAGAAATTCTTGTTCCTAATGTTCAATCTTTACATATTCCCATCATCGTTATCCTAATTGGCCTCATCATCCAGCATCAAACAGGCTGATGTCACAATTCTTTAATTCAATGCGAAAGGTTTCAAATAAGTATATTCATGTATATGGGTTGGCAGTAACATATTCCGTAGCGTACTTTTAACAAGGGCACAACAAACAACCATGAACCTGAAAACTTGTGTTGGGCAAGTTGTTCAACTTGAAATATTGGTAAAGTCAAATTACGCAATCGGTACAACAAATCTAGCAAAAGTTTGGTTCCAAGTCTGCGTTAATAAGGCAAGTCAAATGCATACACAAGTTTAGCGACTACATAAAGTGTGTGTGTGCATAGGGAACAAACTGTGCGAGTTGAATCGAACGTACCCCAATTAAGTAAGTTAACTTGTTCAGCGATACTATAAACCAGCGCCGTTTACATAATACCTTGCTACACAAAGGACGTATTATGTTTATGCAGGGGAAGTTTAATAAAGTCGTTTAGTTTCATTTTCGTCACCCTCATCTCGTCAGCCGAGAACCAGGCTGGCTGGCTGCTCAGTCATCAGGGTAAAGAACTTGACAAGGCTTTGCCGCTGGCGTGTCAACCAGTTCCGTTCATTTGAATGGGAGAAGGAAGTGAGAGACAGGAAAAGTTTTCAACGCTGAGTTTGTTTCTTGTGTTTTGACACATTCCATCCGTAGTTGCTATGAGCAGGTCATTTGCATGTTATTACGTATTTTGTGGTTCTACTCGTAGTGAGTGCAGGAGGGCAAGTGGAACAACTTGACTGGATTGTTCTTTCTCTCTGCATTACGTCCACGGTGGTGGTGCGGTGGTGTGTTTGCTTGTGTTTGCAAGTATGTGGTGCTTTCTTTCAGACTAATGCTTTCAAAAGCACTAAATTATGGATTGAGATATCAAGTTTTCAGTCTGCTCAATAGCTTGCTTGGTCGAGCACTTGGTCGCGGTTATCTAGTATTGACAAATAACTTGAACAATGACAGGATAAAAAATACCAAGTTTGGACGAGACGGTCTTAATCGAAAGCCAATTTTCATTTTGTTTCTAAAACTCACTATCGTCGTGCGTGATGTGTGTAAGACCATAAATATGATAACCGTTATTACTGGTCGTATACATATGTGCATATGAATATGCTCAACTGATTCGTTTGTTGTATGCTAAAGGTTCAAAATGGTTTTCATTTCAATAGCCAATTCCCTCACGAATTGCGATTCCATTGAAACTTTGTGCACAAGAATGGTTATCAAACTCCATAAATACTTTTCAGTTATAACCTTTATTATTTTAACAAACATGTCTCAAGTTCAGTAAAAAAAACAAGCAGCGAGTGTTATGAAACGAAAGACTATTTATGATACAACCGTATCGAATTTGGTTTGCTGTATCAAATTATTCATTTCGAATGGTAGACTCCACTCCGTATTATTTAGATAGTTGTTATTGAGTGGGAGTAAAGTTAAAAAAGTTTTCACTGGATAATTAGACTTCGCATTTGAAATCAGTAATTATACAACTTTGCTAACAGAAAGTTGGCAGCATAGTAAAATCAGCTCGAAAAAGTACCTAAAAATTGTTGGATAATTTTAAAAAAAGCTTTAGAAATTTGCTAACGAGTTACTGATTGCAGACGTTAGTTCAAGGTTCACATGATTGTTGTTGTGTTCGTTTTAATCAATTCCGTACCTAATAGTATTTATCTCGAAATAACGACAAATTGAAATAATAGTTCAATATTTATCGTTGTCTTGTAAATTTAGCATCATAAATATTTATCGACGTATTGCACAATTTATTGGAAACTGACTGAAAATAGTTATTAACATAGATTTGTATTAGAAAAATATCATATTATGCAGCAAGAGTAACGACCATTAAGAGGAATATTCCTAAACTGGCCATATTTGTATGTACCTATTTGTCGCATGGTTATAACATTTCACAAACAAGTGTAGTTATAAATACCTGCAGGAAAACCCAACATTCCGTTGATTTAATTAACTGAATTTATCTCCTGTCTTACTTGTTGTCAGTAACCTAATCCCAGCCGAACTATGGTAAATGTATAATACGTTGCATGCGAATTACATAGTTTACTAGCGTCCTGCTAGTAAACTAGCAGCTCGAGCTTGCCTACTTCAATTATGGAACAAGAATAATTATGCTTGTGACCATTTAAATAAAAGATACGCCTGTACGACAGAACCACATGTGTGCATATGTATGCATTCAAATAAATTGTTTTGCGCTACAAAATTTGTACAGCAACTATTCACAAGGATTTGCCAATCGATACAATACATCCGTTAGGTAAATTTTTTGTTGGGAGCTTACTAGAAATTTATGCGTAAAGAATGTGTACAGAACTAGTTGCACATTGTCATTTATTTCATTCCTTTGAAAGGCCACGTCCTTGTTGCCAACATTTTTCCATGCCATGTAATGAGTAAATATTTGGCACCAAAGGAACTCGATGCCCTATTTGTCAGAGTAGAGAGTGAAAGGAGGAAAGTTTGCAAAAGGTGAGAATACGAAACACTTTTCTTCACAACCACTCAAACTTTCTTTCACACAATTTGAAGGAGATGAACGTGTTTTAGCAAACTAAATAAGACGGAAGGAGGCCGCCGAGCTTAGACATGCCAAGTTTCAATCCGAAACATGGAGAAAGTCTTCCTTTACTTGAGACAGGTTATTAGTATGTCAATAGCAGAAATCGATTTTGTTTTGCATCCAACAGCTCTGCTCCTACTCGTCCCTCAAGGCATTAAACTATTGAAATTCCACAACTCCCAATTTGTAGTAGTTCCCGAAGCTCTATTGTGTATGCATGTATATAGGTTCGTGTGTACTATGAACGACGTGTATGTGTGTCGTATTTGCGTTTCCTCCTAAGCTCGTCCCATTTGTTGTTGTTCTACTAGTCTGGGTGGAATTGCATCCAATTGCCCATGTTATGAGATTCTTTATCTTTCAATCCCCAGACCAAGCAAGCAGAGCAAATGCAAATTCAGGAAGCCACAGAGGGAAGAGAATCCGAAAATACCTTATTTCCTGTTTGGTGAAAGTGGGTGGGTGATCTATCTGCTGCGAGTGAAACACCCCATTATACAACCACAACAGCAACCCCGCTCGACTGCAATTACTCGTCTGCTTTGCTTGCCATCGGGAAAGGTAATTATTCCCGAACTGCACTACAAAGTGTGGCAAGTTTGTCCTGTCCTCCTCAAAACCAACATTTACAATTCTCATGCATACGTTTAGATATGCATGATTGACAAGTTGCGTCGTAGCAACAGACATGAATTTGTGTACGACTCGTGTTGGGTAGACTGTTTGCAAATTGTCAAAAAAAAGTCACAGCCAATCCAGCACCATCACTTTGCTTTCACTCGTGGAAGAACCCCAGAAACCTCTCCTTAGTTCCAAAAATAATTTCGCAGATTGCCAAATTCGTTGCACGGATCCTCCACCCGTCCAAGCATGTGTTCATTATTGGTATGAAATATTTTTTATGTAGTGTTGAAAGGGAAAGCTCATGTCGAGATCCTCCAAAGCACTGCAGAAATCGTAATAAAATTCTAGCTAGGCATGTACTACATACATGCGTATATACATTTGAATACCAAGCAGAGTTTGGCAACATTCTTACCAATGCACCTGGATAAGTACGTATCTGGCTATTGGGCCGGCATATATGTAGGTGGATAAGGAACTGTTTGATAAATATTCAAAGGTTGGCTGTGTGAGTGTCTTTGATCTTCAATTCCAACATGTCATTTCCCTTTCATGTCTCCTACATCTCGTGGCCCCTGCCATGATATTGCTTTCCAACTAACTCCATAGCGGAAGAATGTGGTTCAGTCCCAGGAAAAGATTCATTTCCTTGCTCGCCGGTGTGTCTTCTGGTTTGGTTTTGTTGTTGCATTCCTTTGGTTGGAAGGTACAAGTATTAGGGAAAAGTGAATTGAAATAGAAATTGATACTTGCACTTGGGTTTCTGCTGGCTGTTTACCTAAGCGCGTGAAGGACGTATACGTAGAAATTATTCGTTTGTCTGAACGTACAAACAATTCAATCTCGGAGTTTATTCTACTTGTGGAATTTCAGCAAAGACTTTTCTGTGAAGGGAAAATTGCTTTTGTGAAATATTAAAGTTTTGTTTGCTTTGCTGAAGAGAATTTCAATTATACTGCTGAGCAGTTCATCCCGTTACTTATAAAAGTATGTCATCAGCTTGATTTTGATACAATATGCACATTCGTATGGCATTTTATTGAAGGTATGTATAATGCAGTTTCTGACCACCGCATTCCAGAATGTGCAAATTAAATCTGTAAATAGCAAGTAACAATGTTCCTTTTATACATAAATACATAAATATTTTATACATACATAAATAAGTATGTTACGCCAATAACTATGGAGCAGTAAACACCAAATATTACGCCAGACATACGCAAGAAAAGTCTTATGTCTCATATAAAAAAACTATTAAATCAATTGAGGCGTAACACGTATCCGACTATTGTACTTAATTGCTCATATACATACATTCGCATCACCTGAGTGCATACGTATTCACATTGATAAATGAACCAACGGTACTAGTGACATTCAAATATTTCTTATTATAACTAATGTGTCCATTTTCTCCAATTAATTAAATAATACCTTAACTTGCTATTTGGTTCAACTATGCACTACGTGGAAAAAGTTGGAACAACTAAATCCAAATAAATCCTGAGGGAAAGCGAACTTCTGTTTGGCTTTAGGATTAAGACCCATCCATTAGAATTCTACATTAATGGAAACAGGAAGGCCACACTCTTCCCACTTACGCAAACCTTTCCCCAGTGAAAGCTTCAGTTCAGTGAGTTTTCCTAAAAATTCATTTATCGATTTGTTCAAGCTTGATGTGTACACGACAACTTTTCGTCCAAATTAATTTAATTAATCATCCACGGTTTCAGATGTCTACTTGTCGGTGAAAATTTTTTCAAATTCTAGATTTGCTAAATTGTTCAACGACAATGGTGATTTAAGCAAGTCTCGTTTCCTTCTGAAATCAACATGTGGACTGCTGCATGTTACCAAAAATAATACTACAATGGAGTATAAGAAAGCACACCAAGGACGTTTTTCAATCCAAATAACTAGCACAAAAATGAGACCATACGTCGCGCATGAATTTTTACGTAGTATTACAGTAAGCGTTGGAATAAGTAAAAATCTAGTGGATTATTTTCAATTGAACGCTAGAAAATTGCCCAGCAATTTCATGAGATTGATATCTAGAGAGTAAGATTGCCTGCTGTACTGTGTAAAAGTGAATAAAGAAACAACTGCATTTTTTGTATTGCTGTGTGCCTGTGCAAACTGCGAAGTAAGTTTGTAATTACGGCCTCTATATGTAGGTTAATATGATCGATCGTGTTTTTGCTCGGAATTCTATTTTATTTTTTAAGCACCAATTTTCAGTTCCAGCAACACCAAGGAAATCCTGTCTTGCTTCAAATTGACATTCACTATACATTGGAAGGACTGTTGTGCATAAATGAACATGGTTCATCACTTGGACTGGAAATCCACATTAAAGAAGTTGTCATTCATGTTTTGATTCAAATGAGCAATTTCTAGGGTTTACTCTCCATTGTCAACTATGAATTGGTTCATTTGTTTTTTATGAACACGTACATGCATAAAATGGGCAGTGGCCATTACCAGGATTCCCATGTCAGAATATTGTCTTATATATTTAGTAGCAAAGTTGGTTGAGTGAGGAAACCCACTTTATCAACTTGTACTTGAGATATCGTTTTGATAGCCGCATGTTCTCAATAACTTATTCAGGAGCAAATATCGTCCATGTACAAGGTGTACAACTCCAACCAATTATAGCAGAAGGAACAGTGTGTAGTTGTGTTATGGCGTTTTGCATGCGTGGACAGAATCCCTCTATCCCATTCGTATTTATATCATAAATGCGAATTGGAATTCCTCCTTTTTATAATCCTTTAGTCAAACCGTTATGAACTTGGGATTTATTTCAACCGTTCCATTTTCTGGGTTATTTTCTGGAGTATATTTAAATTGCGCATGAGATTTCTGACCATATGAACACAAAGGATTGATATATTTATCTGTCTACACATTTCTCTCCTGCTTTACGAATTATGTAAGTAGACAATTGCTTCCGTCAACGGACACCTTCCAGTTGTTGTGAAGTCACCTACATATGAAATTAACCTCATCACCAGACTACTTTATTTTAGTCATACACGTGGGTGTTTATTTAAAAAATTACAGATTACAAAATGTCAAGGGTAATCCGAAATGGGAATAAATATAAGCTTTTTTATAACGATACTCCTTATAGATAGCTGAAAACATTGGTTATTTTTTTTGGAAATAGGTTCACATAGTATGACAGCATCCCGTGACGAGTGTCAGTTTGAGATTTACGAAGTCCTTAACACTGGGAGAGGTGATGATACTCAGATAAAACACAGTTATCAGATGTAACACGTTCTAAACGAGTGTGATGCACAACATTAGAAAACCACGCAAATGCACACTCTGTAGAAAGATTGATGTTAATCGTCCTTCTATATTGCAGGTTTCTGCCAAGAAAGGAAGCCTGCCAAGTTTTTTTCTATGTGGTTTGTTTACAGGCCTTACTTTGAATTATCTTCCACCAGAACGCAAACAAGAAATGCATACTCGTCGTCCCAGGTACATACGCATAACGACACAAATTACGCACAAGCATACGCATCTTTGCACAAAATTGAGTTATCCTTCGCAAAACACACATAATTAAAACCAATTTGGATGTAAATACAAGCGGTTAGATTTGCGTGATGGTAATTAATTAAAATTTTTCAAGTCATGTAAGAATAACGGCTGCGCATACCAGCATAATTTCTTCTGGGATATCAATCTCGTTATGTTGCATATCTTCATCAGGTTTAAGAAAATTACAAATTCGTGCGAAAACAATTAAATATCAATCAGAGTTCCGCAAGCTGCGGGGATTCTTGTTCGTGACCTTTCTGAGGATAATGGACACACCTTTTTTCTCTGACCTATCAAAGGCAGATACTTTAGATAAATGGTATCATGTATGTTTATTCATCCTCTCACGGCTTTTCCACTCTGTCAAAGATTTAAGATTGTTGAGCCAATTGAAATGAACCCCATCAACAGCTATAATAAAGTAATGGAAGCCAAGTTCTGAAAATTCTGCATTGAATATGCTACAACATTTACACGTGTGCTTTGAAAAACAAAATTTGTCATCTTTGACAATTCGAAATTTCTGGACCTTTTACCAAGTTTGCATACGGTCATTAGGTCGACGTACATCGAGATGATCGTGTTTTTTGAAATCCCTAGCCCAAACTACGTCTAAAATTATCAAACCTAAAAATTCTGCATTTTTGGTGTTCGATCTCATAGAATCTAAAAAATTGATTCGCTCGAATGTTGTCTTGCGGACGGACAGCCGGACGGACGGACAAATCCATCACAAAACGTAGCTTCCACCACTTAATAATCAAAAAAATGGTCAACACATGCAAGTCTCACAAAACCAACAAGAGAGGAAACCTGATGAGCAACAATTAATAAAGTTATCAGCTATTCCTCCAATATTGTGTGTAAATCGCCATCCCGCAGATAGCCAAACACCAAACCATGTGCACGCCAAAATTTGAAGCCAACACAAACTCGCACTTGCATAATTCATCATACGGAAAACAGAGTGAGATATGAATCACTTCACAATTTGTTAATTTGCAGTTCATTTCACAGGTTCTTGTCATTCAAATTGTAACACATACAGAGTATGACAGCTCCCACAGCGAGATAGAGCATGTCCAGAATGAGAAATATTTTATGCCGCTGTTGTAACCACCATTCAACGTAGTATGCATACATATCTATAAATTGCCTACCGCACAATCCTTTGGCTACTATCACACAACCCAACGTAACAGAAACCCCTTCCTGATTATCTGTAACTCAATTTGCAAAGTCGAAATTGAGAATTATCAACTGTCAAGTGCTCGCAATCATAACGCTCCAAATTTACTCAAAATATGATGAATAGCAATTTGTCCCCCTTAGTGGCTAACAGCGTAATTTCTACCATCAATCTTTGTTACTGATATGTAAGAATGTACTATATATATCCTGCACACTAATGCGCTGTGAATAAGTTGGAGGCAGTAGCGTCGTGGTGACTGGTGGTGCAGGGTGACTTCATTTTCATTAAATCATCATGACCAACTACATCCAACTACTGTTTCATCTTTCCGTATTGCTTTCATGTGTCGCACGTATTCACAAGTCGTAAAGGAGTCTCATCATTCAGAAATTTCGCAGAATGGACGAAAATGAATTAAACGACAGACTGAACACAATCCTTGTTCGTGAAGTAGAATTAAACTCTATCCAAATGCCTGAGGCAAAATGAGAACATGCATAATTTTAATGCCAGGTAATAAAATTGCAATCTGCGCTATTTCGCATTATTAGGTACGTTTTGTGTCGTGGATCGTCTAACTTTCGGCATTTTATTGTCTGTGTGTTTACTAAGATGCAGGTGCTGCTGTTTACATAAGGATGAGAAGGAGATGAATCTTCGCAACCAGTTCGGCCATGTTTAGGCCATATTATATATAATCGCACATTAGTTAATACATTTCTTGAAGCAAAGATATCTGTCTCTGCCAAAATTTCTAATTTATTCTTATTGTATTTATTCCTTATCAGTTATCACCAAATGACGTATACATGACAAAAAGGCATTCACCTTAGCTGACCTAATGTAATCAGCAAATAAAAAATTTAATAATTTCGCATCAAAAGTATGCATAGATATGTTCATACGTTTTTATGCGTCAATAAAACCTGGAATCTTTCTTTACACATGCAATTTTATTAATTTGAGAACGTAATAATGCAGCAGCGTAAAACCAGTTTTATATAAAAATCAGCGAACAAACCTCCATCCTCAATTGGGAAAGATGATTTGCAAACTTGTGAGAACAATGGTCATTATGGACGAGAAGAGAAGAGCAACAACAGCAGAAGCAAGTCAAAAGTTTGAGGTTTTGATATGCGATGAGACGAACTCGAGACAACGGCGAACACCCAAAAGTCACTTGTAATACGAGTTAAAAACTTGTAGTTGTAGATTCTTCTAGATTACAAACCACCAACAAAGTTGGAAAGAGTTTTAAGTTGCACACTGGAGCAGTTTTTAAACAATTAATTTTTTGTTCAAGTAAAAAATTTACGCAATTTGAAATGCATTTAATATTCAATTTTTCTCGTCTTATTCCCCTCTTGCACTTTTTAACAATTTCAGAGTGCACGCAAACAAGACGGTATTTAACGTATAATATGTCTGGTTCCCAAAACGAGACAAAATATCATTTGTCGTAATTGGAGATTATGTAGATATGCTAGATATGCATTTCAATCACTTGTCTTGCATTTACGACGAGCCAATTGTACAGAGAAGAAGGCATGAAATTGGTACACACTGCTTAAACTTTTTAACATGTAAACCACAAAATCACTCAAAATCTTTTTTTCTTAAGTTTTGCAAGCTGTCGTTTATCCTTTTGAGATTACTCATTAATGGGAAATTCACACATCATTAGAAAATAAAAACTTCTATAATGCATGTATCAACGTATTGTGTTTTATACATATAGTGACGAATATAATTGGTGTGAGGTAATAAGTTCACTGGAAATCTTACTTTTATGAATCACTGATAACGATTAAAGAGATTATATTAAATTTTGCACCAAAAAATTTATTGACGCAGGTCAGTTAATGCATCAGTATTTAAATCTAAATCACTTTAAATTATTTGTATTTGCTGCACAAATTCTAGTATTTAGAACATTGTTTGTCCTCCTGCGTCCACGAAAAAAACCGGTCTCGAGGAGTTGGGAACAGTGCACTCACACGCGTCTGACTTACAACTGAGAGGCGATTGGAGAGAACTCCTGCGTTTTGTTGAATTTGAGACTTTGAGATGTTGGTTGGTGGGCTCGTCTCAACGCTGCTTTCCTCCACCAAAACCACCGTGAGAATTGATGCGACTCAACTTATTCCTATATTTACTTATTTCGTTTTTTGCTCTTGTTTGACGTCTTGAAATATTTTTGACGAAAGAATAAAACTTGAGATTTTTTAATGTTTTTTGAAATTTGAACCACAATTCCAAATTAGGGAGTTAGCTATTTTAAGGCAAAATTTGTTTGTGTGACCATGTACATAGTCTAATCAAAGAAATGGTGCGAATCTCATAAAACGTTACGATCTTCCTACACAGGGAGAGAGGAAATTAATACTGACATTGGGCATTAGACACACATACGATGGACCTCACATCATCAAGCCCTGCAATTAAATACGCCAGAGGTAAAATTTGGTGTTGGCGTGCTTGATAACTGGTAAAAAGTGACTCATTTTCCACACAAAACCACAAATATTAAGATAATGAGTACTTGTTTGGAATTCGCACTCTTGTATTTTTCGATAATGCACATTGTTGAGCCTCCTGTTGAACTCAATACAAAATGTGTGTATAACATGGACATCTAAAATATAATAGGAATTTCCTACCTAAAACTGAAGATGCAGACTATTTAGTTCCACTTTACTAATCCATTTTCCATGTATTGTTCAGAGTCACGCTTCACTTGATGAATATCCATGCTCGTTGGGTGAAATTTATGCAATTCACAAAAGAGTATCAACTCTAAATACAAGACAAATAAAATGTCTCGAAAAGTTATAAAACTTAATTATCACGTTGATTTAACCGAGGTTGATTGCTATTTGCATTTATTGTCTACGACGTTTAGGTCTACGACCTAAACTTTGGTTTTAGTAGGTAAACAGTCAAATTAAATAAATAAGAATAATGGGAATGAAATAAAGTAAAATAAAGTAAAGTTGCGATGTAAGAAGATAAACAAACTTACTTAAAAGTAAATGCACGCCTGTTAAATCAACAAATGTTGCAATGTAAAATAATTTGATGTCGGTGATGTGAGGCAGAAGACGACGAGAAGGAAATTAAGCGAATGTGGAGCATGGCAGTGGGCACACTTTGCTGCGTTAAAGAAGAGACAGCATTTTAATCGAGGAAGAATTTTCAGCGTCCTGTTTATGTATTCTGCCCAGGAGTCTCATCCTCCATGTTAATTCAATTATTATTATCCTCCGGATTAGATCAGACACATTGATATAATGGAGGCCTCAAAGTTCAGTCTTCAATTTTCTCTGTATTTCAAAATCATTATCTTCGCAATGTGTGCAGTAAAGTTTCCACTTGAAAAACTGATTCCAAGTCCCGACTTTTTTTCCTACGTTGCAATTTGCAAAAGAAAAATGCGAGCAGTTCTATCCATCCAATTTCCAAAAACCAGTCATCGCTCTGAGCTATAGAGGCCTGACTCGAAAACGAATTGTTTACTAATTCAAAATTTTAATTTTTATGTCCATTCCATCATGTCAACGATTTTGTCTACAACAACATTTGCAAAGATGCCAGAAGACTGTTAAATTTTGGTGGTTCCTAAAACTCACTCTTAGACATATGTACATATATGTACATGTACATCTGTATGTAGGATTATTATCAGACAACGAATCTTGGTAATAAAATTTCAATTTTTTTATCCAAACAAATTTTACGATTTTATCTCGGCATCGTAGTATGTTGCACTTTTTTTGCTGCTCCGAGGAAATAAATTAGGCAATTCCTTAGATCTCTGAAGAGCAGATGAAGTTTGGATCACACAATGAACACTATATTGAATGCTCATTTATTACTCAGATAAAAGTTGAAACGTTACTAGCTAATAAAAGTTGGGAAACGCAATAATGATGCAAATTATCCAGATCCATTTCATGATCTGAATTTAACGACAAAAGATTTCTCTGAAAAAAGTCTTAATGAGCAGAAAAGTCCTCTCCCTCCAGAAAATGACATTGATCAGTAAGGAAAGTGAATACTCTGTGTGTGTGAACCTGGTCTCATTACCTACGCTCCAACTACGTGCGTACAGCAAAAGTGAATTAGAATATAAATTAGAGGTGTATATCATCGAACGATGTACGTTTTCTAGCTGTATAAATACATTTTATGTGGCTACAAAAAAAAGTTTGTGATGTTGTTGCTGGGTTGGTCGTCCTTTCCTTTCCTTCGTCGTCGTCGGTACTTATTTCCTTTCTTGTTACACCTTGAAAGAAAATAATAATGATGGAATACAAGCAGGATAAGCAGCGCCTTTTGGACTTTTTGCTTTATGACTTACTTAGTTAAGTAGTCCATGCATACTTCAGTGTAGCTCAATTATGCGATTATTTGGGCTGTACAAATATTACCAGCAAAAAAAACTAACAACACCAACACAAACATTACACCAAACATGATGATGACCATGCTGCATGTAAGGTCTGAGTGGTATGTGAGTCGTTTTCGTCTTGGTGGCACCCATCCCCCAATTTGAATATTATACAACACTGAAACAAAGCTGCAGGAGTCATGTTTCTCCAGCAGCCCAATTCAATGAATTCAATAATCTCATCCTGCTGCACGGCTCCCTGAAGAAAATCTTCTCAAGTCGTCTTCTCAGCCACCAAAGCATCAACAGCATGAGAGAGACAATAATAATAATAATATTTCTTGGAGTGAAGGAATATGCGAGCATTGCAGTAATGGCAATCAGTCAACTCTTGACAGGAACTATGTGGGCTGCCATGTGGGAACTTTTATGACTCGCTTTTGTTACTCTCAAGTTATTATATATGATGAGGAGTGAAGTTTCCATTGTTTCCCAGGTTGAGTGACTTTGATGGTGGCATGGCTGACTTTGACCAAGGAAGGAAAGAGTCCATTGTCAGCCGTGACTGGATGACTGGAGAGAATCAAGTGCACACGCTCCGGACGCCCTGCACAACTCGATTTAATTTGTTATCTTTGATTCTAATTTAAACTGTCATGCCTTTGTTCGACACTGAATAAAATCCAGAGAGAGAGAGACCACTTTCGCTTAAATCTGATTTTCTGCTTAAATCAGTCCTTGTACATTTTGTTAACTAGGATGAACACGGTATGCTGCCTCCTCATGTTCTTTGCCATGGCATATGTGCTCATGTACCGTCGGGGAGCAACTATCGAATCCTTACGTAACTAATACTACACGAGTTGGCTTGCAACGCTACTTCCAAAAGATCCAAGATCAATAGTTGTGTGCACCAACCAAGTGCAATTTGTATTTTCGATCCGGACTACTTTCCAGTGTCAATTTAAACTTTTCATGAAGCAGTTCTTAGATAACAATGGCGTAGAAATGGCGTTAGTAGTTTCAAGGATTACTAAAAGTTATTGGACTGCAGGTGTATATGCATATAATTTTTGCGACGTACTTATGTACTTGATTATGTAAAAGAGGATGCCGATTTGTCATCCAAGCACATACTTGACATGACGAATTTCGTGTGTTTGTTCAAAATGAATAAATCGATCAGCATGTGCAAAACAAGCCAACATTGTTACGTCAGCTCTTTACTATTCCAAAATTTGATTCTACAATTTGCTAAGCATAAAGTTTAATATTTGTTTATATATAGTTCTCTCATGCTCACAGAAATACAGAAGTACGCATTTGACAGATAAGAGTAACAACAGCCTGTTTCTAGTTCAAGGTCATAAGGTTTCCTGAGGATTTGATAAGTCAACTGGAAAATACACGAGGCAGCAGCATACCAATGCCAGTTTGTGGGTTGCCATTAGTGTGAAAATAAAATCTCAAGATAGACAAGCTCCGTCAAGGAGCATGTGCGTACAAACGTGTATGCAAATATTATTGCAATATCTGAGTAGGTTGAAATTGTTGACCTTAGCAAGCATTAGGCAAGAAGGAAATCCTGATACCCGCACTGACCCGAAAATTCCTTTCATTTACCACCTTGAATAAGAAACCAAATGTTGGAGAAAGTAAGGCAGGAAACGAGTCCAGCTTGATTGATGGCATCCTTATCACAGATTGCTTTGTAATTTCTTTTATGATACAGCCCATGGTTTCTCAGGTTTCTGTAGGTTTGTTGGTCAACTCTCAGTGACTGGCAGCATAACTGTTAGGCACACACACACAACGCAACATATATTAACCTCTTAACGACGAAGTACACACATTTGTGTAGTTATTTTATTTTCCGTTCACGGCGAAGTACACACATTTGTGTAGTATTTTATTTTTCCGTTGACGACGAAATACACAAATGTGTGTACTGCAGAAATTTCCTTGACACCAAAATTTCTTTAAAAAAAGAATATTTCTTCGGTATTTTGTGGAAAACTCGATGGTGAAAAGTGGATTTTTTTCGATATTTTTCACCCAAAATTTTGGAATTTTCCCTATACCGACCAATGTTAAAAAATGTTTTTTTCGTATTTTTCGTCAAAAACTCGAATATTGCAAACTGGTGGAAAATTTTAATTGGTTGCTATCAGGTATAATTATGAAATCAAAATCGTACCGAAGGGAAATTTTATTTAAAAATCAGTAGTACGAAAGAGGTTAACCTGAGGACAATGTGAACAAGAGAAAGGTCGATATATTATAGTGTTCCATGCTGCGAGGCAGTATTTTCTTCATTATTTCATGCATGTAGGCTGTGTATGTACACTACGTCTCCCCATTGTTATCTTGACAATCCTTTTAATTTTCTCAAAACACGAACATTCCGTGGGCGAAAATTAGACTAATTTCTCCTATTTCTTCATTATAACTCGTAGGTAAGTAAAATCTTGAACAATGCTAAATACGAACCACTACCACCTGCCGTAGCAATATCCACTTAGCACTCTGGTTGATAGTGGCAAGAAAAGAGTTAAGTAATAGTTTCCGAAAATAAATCCCTTTGTCTACACCACACACAACTCAGAACAT